GGACATGGGGAGGGAATGGCAGTAGGGGCTGCAGGGCACGCTGGGATCAGCACTGATCACTGGTGAAAAGGAATGAGCGGCCGCTTTGGGGGGCGACAACAGGCGGCCGTGGAGGGCGGTGCCCAGCCTGTCACCGGGTCGGCGGGGATCTCACTCTCCGAGGATCGGCAGCACTTTCCGAGGGCGCGCCCGGTGCACGTGGCAGAGCCCCAGGGCCTACGGCAGCGCCCGGCAGGCGGGCACCGGCGGCGCCCCGCGTTGGATCCCGCCCGGCTCCGCCCCGCCCCGCCCCGAGGACATGTGCACGCCAGGCCCCCTGGAGCCCCGGGCCCGCCCCTCGCTCGCTCTCCCTCTGCGGTTCCAGTGGACCCTGTTGGGGCGACGTCGCGAGACCCTCAGCGGTGGCGGTGCCTGGTGAGTCCGGGGCGGGCGGCGGGTGGCGATGCGGCCCGGGGCCGGACGGGCGAGCTGCAGGGGAAAAAGCAGGGTCGCGGGGGGAGGCCGATGCGGGGGCCGGCGCGAGGTCCGAGGGTGCGGGCGCCTCCCGCGGGGAACCCGCTCCCCGCCCAATCCGTCCCTACCCAGGTCCCCGCCGCCCTGGACCTTGCTGGAGCCGGCGGGCCGCGGACTGTTAGCCAGTGTGGTGTCCCCACCCTTAGACCCCAGGGTTCAGGGCAAGCGGCTTCGGGGCGGGTGGGGGGCCCTCAGCCCTCAGCCCTACCCTATTCTGCTGAGAGGCCAGGACACTCAAAGTGCCCAGAGCCTCAGACCCCAGCCTCCCTTTCCTGCTCTCCAGACCAGCCCAGACAGGGCATGTCATTCCAGTCCTTAGCACCAATCCCACCCTCGCCGCCTCTCCCAGCCCATGTCCACCTGTGTCCTCTGGGATAGGGCAGAGCTGTGACCACGTCAGTATCTCCTCCTGGCCGGCCAGGGTGCCTGCTGGACTTCATCTCCTCCCCCATCATTAAAGGTTTCACCTCCACTGCTACCATCACCATCAGCTTCCGGCAGATCCAGGTAGGCAGGCTAATTGGTACCGGGGCACCTGCTGGGTAGCAGGACCAAGGCCAGGTCCTGATGTGTGTGTGCCAGTCTGCTGTTCCAGAGCTGGAAGCATGTGGTGCTTACATGGGTCTCCATTAACAAAGTGACCCCTCAGGGGAGTTGTTGGGTGAGGGTCAGATTGTACAACAGGTCATTTGGGGGACTGGTCGTGACAGCCCCCGCTCTTGGTGGAGTTTTCCCCCCAGTGAGCTTGGTTCCTTCACAGAGTGGTTCTGTTCTGCTGCCTCTCCTACACACTCAGCCTTCACAGGACACGAGCATCCCGCCAAAATTTCCACAAGCGAATGATTCCCCCACGCTCATTTAGCTAGAAGATATCATTTTTATGTCATTTTCCGATGTCTGTTGACTATGTTTCAAATGCCATGCTTCTTTATATTTCTATCTAAACCTCTATAAGAAGTACTAGAATCAGTGATCACTGGTTATCTGAGGACGTCATTTATTCTCCTGTCACTGGGTTTGAAGTTCCTGGGGGGCAGGAACTCTTTTGCTCCCCACCGTGGCCTCGCAGCACTGTGCTTGGTATAAAGTAGGTCAGTGTTCAGTTGTTGTGCGGAATAGAACTGAGCTGCATTGTACAGATGAAGCCATGGGGTCCCTGGTGGCAGACATAGGGCTACGCTCCTGCCTCGTGACCTGATGTCGCCACCTGGGCCTTTCCAAGGCCTGGTTCCCGCGGCCAGGCTCTGCTCCAGACTGGCCTGTGATGGTCTTCCCTGACGGAGGGCAGTGAGCAGATCGAGGCCAGGAGGAGACGTGTGTGTGAGAATCAAGCAGCTGATGCTTCTTCCCTCTTACTCTGTGCTGGGACTTGATCCAACACTGTCCCTGTGCTTAATTCTACCACAGCCCTGGGAGGTAGGTTTATCATCTCCTCTTAGAGGAGAGGAAACCCCTTAGAAACACTTAGAAAGGTGTGGGTGAATGTGATTTATATATTATGTACACACACACGTCAGAGGAAGTTTGGCAAATAGTGTGTCCTGGGATAGTCTGTCCTTTATACTGGAAACAGTATCTTTCCTTTTTAGTGTCAAGAATGTTCCTTGATACAATCATAATACGGGTAGAGGGTAGCTTCTTTATGCTTTTGTACTTGGCAGCCCTAAGCCCCCAAAGTCACTAAAGCCTTGACTGGGTCATGACAGCCATCTGACAGCCCCCAGGCTGGGGTGGGGTGGGGTCCTCCTGACCTGCCCAGGACAGAAGTGGAGGAGGCGGACGTTGGAGGCATCGCCTGGCTAAGTAGCAGGGACTTCTGTGGCTCCAGCACCTCAGGCACTTGTGAGCACTTGGCCCTTGTGAGCAGTGTGCGCCCAGGGGAGTGAGTGATTGTCATGTGAACTGAAGTGGGGCAACAAAGGTTGGCATCAAGAACAGGTACACACCTGTATGACAAATCCAGAAAGTCTTTGTGTTTGTTGTTTAATCATGAAAGGTACATTAAAGCCTGACGAATTTTAATAGACACATGCCGTGAAATATCTCAGCGCACACTATTGAACTTTTCACGATTCTTTGTTACTTTCCCCACTGGTTACGCTGATCCTCATTTATATCTATTATCTTATATATAGTTTAGGATTAGATTCAGCATGAAGAATAGCCTTTTACAGTGCGCTCTTCGACATCGGTCTTAGCAACATATTTTCAAGCACCATGTCTGACCGGGCAAGAGAAACAATAGAAAAAATAAACAAATGGGACTACATCAAA